GGCTACTCAATTGTTCCGGTAGTGACAACTGTGAATAATAATTAAAATTATTTAATATTAAATTCTACAACTGATACTAAATCCGATAATATCCTCTTCAAGTCAACTTGCGTGATATTTTAATACTTCTTGCCATACCACCACAATTACTATGCGTAATTTGAAAGCAAAACTAAGTGAAACATTTCACTTAAAACAACTCTAAAATATCAATAAATCAAACAAAGAGCAATTCGCGAGAAATTGATAATAGATGGACAACGATTCCAGATGTTTTAACTTTGTCACACTTTGCAATTGTTGTGAACTTTATCATTTACACAATTTTTAACATGTTTATGTTTTAAGTAGTGAACAATCTGAATTAGTATTTACTAATCCTAATAAAATTTATTTTCTAAAAAATAATATATTAAACTCTTGTAACAATCCAATAAATTCAATAGAAAATAGACAACCATGACAATAATTGTCACTAAGATTGTTCTTCCTTCTGGGGATCCTTTCCCAATTTATTCGTAGGAAGGCCACTTTATACAGGAATCAGCCCAATCAAGGCAGAATTCCATTATTGGGATAAATTTTAACCAGGCCAAGGAATCGTGAATTTTAAGCCTTCTGTGTCCTATTTCCGTCATTTTATGGGGACAAAAAATGTCGTAGGGGTTACGTATTGTTCCAAATAATAGAGTATCCGTCTGCATCAAATTTTGGAAATGCACATATGTTTCATAAGGTCCCTTTAGGCCAGAGTGGAACTCTATTATAGGGTGCAGTTGGGGCAATCTGCACGTTCAAATGTTATCAAGGTATATAATTTTGATGTAAAATATTTTTAGGATTATTTCAAAATTATTTTTATATTTAATTATAAAATTTTAAATTTCAAAAATGGTTAAAATGAAGTGGATCTATAAACATATGAAAATCTTGAAAATAGACGGTTTAAATAATATGTTGTAAAATGCATTATTTCTAAAACTTAAAATCTTTTTATTTTTCAACATTAAAACTGCCCTTTCCAAAGGATTTTTGAGGTGCATCCGTAGTTCTACATTATAAGGTTGCATTCTTATATAAATGTTTTCCATTCTTATAAGAAAGGGGTACATGTTTTTTTTTGTAGAAAAAATAGAGTCGAGGCTCTAAACAATCAAATTAGAGCCCATCTGAAAAATTTCACTAAAAGAGATCGTTTTGATGCCCAAATATCCTCAAATTGATCATTTTGATATCAAAATGCATGGACATGAGAAAAAAATAGATTTCAAGTTTTAGAAATAATGCATCTTATGACTCATTTTTGGACGGTCAATTTTTTAAAACTATTTTCATAGATTGCTCGAACCAAACTATTTTTTAAGTATTAAATTTTATAATTAAATATGAAGATATATTTTAAGTCTATCACAAAGATTTCTAGTATTGAAACCACATTTCTTGATACTATTTGAAGGTGCACTTTACTTTGATTGTTTA